CCTGGACGGCGGCCGGCACCCTTCACCTGGATGACCGCGGCCCACGCCCTTCACCTGGACGGCGGCCGGCACCCTTCACCTGGACGGCGGCCGGCGCCCTTCACCTGGACGGCAGCCCGCGCCCTTCACCTGGACCACTGGCCTATGCACTTCACCTGGACCGCGGCCCACGCACTTTACCTGAACCGCGGCCCACGCCCTTCACCTGGACGGCGGCCCGCGCCCTTCACCTGGACGGCGGCCCGCGCCCTTCACCTGGACGGCGGCCGCTCCTGGCGTCTGTCCCAGGCCCGCAGCCCAGCACACTAACAAGTCTGCATTGCTTTGCACAGCTAAACATCCCCCAATAAAGGGAAATCTCAGCGCGGACGCGTGGCCTTCGCTACTGTGGCTTCATTCTCAAACGTGGCCTCGCGACGGTGACCCTGGGCGTGGGCTCTGCAGCTGGCTCGCCGGCCTGACCTCCGCGTGCGGCCTCCCCTGCCTCCCCTGTGCTCAGGTGACTGCCGAGCCCCTCCCCCCTCGCCGCGAGGTGGGGCTGGCTCACGGCGCCGACCCCCTCCAGCGGGTGACCGGGGCTTTGTCACGTAGAGCCCAGAGACACCGGCCCTGCACTCAGGTCGGGCTGCTCGGTGGCCATGACCTGGCGCCCAGGAAAATGCAGGAACAGTGGAGCAGGGCCAGGGGAGGGCCGGGCCTGGCGCCTCGGGGTCACGCTCACGCAGCGCCGGCCCCTGGCACAGCTGAAGCTGGCGTCCAGCAGGCGCCTCGGGCACCAGAGAGGCGGCAGTGCCCCGCCTGACCTGGCACCTGCCCGCTCCAGGCCGCAGTGGCCCCCAGGTGGTGCAGGCCGAGCGGCAGGGAGGGGAGCCCCCGCGGGCAGGCGGCGCCAGTCCCGGTGAGGGCGTGTGGGGTCCGGTGGGCGGGGCCCTGACACCTGAGGGGCTCAGAATCGGGGCCGCAGGTCAGCAGGGCCCGCGCTGAAACGGGGTGTGGATGCTGACGTCACCCTGAAATTAAACGCCCCGGCGGGCGTGCGCGGGCGCCCACAGGGTGACGGGACATGAGTAGATGTTGGCCTTGGGAGTTTGGGGCCCCGTCCGAGTACAAGTAGGCTCCCCGGGAACCCGGAGGGCGGCCTGCTGGCACCCCGCCGCGGGCTGCAGGGCCCTCGCTGAGGGCTCAGCTCCAGCTGCCTTCTCTGGGCGCCCAGCCCAGCCCCCGCCCCTCGGTCTGCCTGCCCGGCGGGCCTGCTGGGGCAGCGGACGCCCGGGAAGCAGAGGTCACCTCGGACCGTGTCCAGGCGCTCACCCAGGCCCTGTGCCGTGGGGAGGGGAGGGGTGCTGGCCAGGGCGGCCCGCAGGGGCCACTCTGGGACTGACCGCGGCTGCTGCTGCGCGGCCGGGACGGGGCGGCCCCGCCAAACGGCGCCCGTTCGGGCTGCTGCTCCGAGCCGCCAGGGCCGGCCCAGGCCCCCAGAACCCCAGAACCCGACGGCTGGGGTACCCCGGCAGAGCACGGCCGTCAGGGCCCCGCAGCGCCCCGGCGCCGGTCAGCGGGCTGCGCAGACGCTGAGCGCCCCCCG